TATTTGACCATAGAAAGCCGGTGTTTTCCAACATCAGTAGCTGGCAGCCAATGAGTTAAATGTTAATTTCTGCAACAGCTTTCATGACACATAAAAGTACATGCTAAATTGTTACTTGGTACATTTGTTTTAAACAGATATGATATTTCCTTTCTCTATCAAGCTACCTAACCAGGTACTTATATGGCCCTCACCAACACAACATTTAAATACCCCCCATTACTGCAAACATTATACTAGTCTTTTGCTCTTCCTTTCTGCCACCAAAAATGGAGTTAGGTCATTTCTTTAAAATGAATGACTGAGCAAATGAGGGTACTAATATAGGAAAGGCAGAGTGAAGAAAAGGGACTTATACATGGCTGGATGTGACAAGGCTAGTGGCCATTCTTATTTCTTGTGGCAAAAATTTAGCATTTAGTCACTTATTTAAAAGGGAGATTTTCCTTGATAGACCCAGACCACCCAAAGAACCATTACAGCTGGTTCTGTAAATTTTAATCAATTCACAGATTATTGCCCCCTTTTCTTTGCTTTGCTCAATCTGCTGAGTGTTATAAATCCATGTGCTAAAGTTCCTAAGGACACTGTCACTGGACAGGGTTAATATAAGCAAGAGTAAAAGACCATTGTACTAAATGAAAAGTAACTGGGTTTTTCTTCCATTTTCCTTTCCCCGTATTTAACACATAGATTAATTACCTGAATATGTCTGTTTCACATACAAACACATATTTGAAAGAATTAAGGTTAAGAATGTGTCTGTAGGTAACAAACTATCTAATTAGATGCCTTAAAACTAGCCGTGACTGATTTTTGGCATGCAACAATGTGTGAAAACATAATATGTTCCCTCATAAATATTTTGTATGCCAAATTTTAGCCTCCACATATTTTTACAGCTGAGTATAAGCCCTGGAAAAGACAAGACATAATGAGACATCAACAAGCAAACCAACCAGACAAAAGCTTGGCCCACACAGATGAGAACACACTGTTGTCATTTAGTATATTTCAACATTAGAGCTAATGATGCAGAAGGAGGGAGAATGAAGATTGGCTATATTAGAGGACAACCTATACTTCATTTTCAATCTTTAGGCTACAGATTCAAATCCAGCACAAGTCTGATAGTATCAGGAAGTTGTAACCTACCAACTCTTTAGTAGTCCTAACATGATCAAGTTGGACTCCATCCTTTCTCTTATTAACGGGTGTTAATGTCACTAAAGCCATCAGTACAATTTGCACCGCATGCCTGGCAATCTGGGTAAAAAATCAGGAACGTAAAACTATGTTCCCGAGTTCATATTTAGATACCTACCTGCCTTTCAATACTGTTGAAGATCTCTATCATAGACAGGAGTTTAATTCAAGTCTCTGATTTGAGGCAGTGTTGGCCCTTGTTGGTAACTTCAGTAGAGGGACTGAACTATAATTCTCCCCTGATTCCTAATGTTTGCACCTCCATCAAAGTGGGTTTGAGGACTCTTGGGGTGATGAGTGGGGTGGGCTAATCTTGCCATTCTAACGTCCATACTTTACCTGGTTTCACAGCTAAACAGAAAACATCAGGCTTTGTCTGCCACATTCAATTAGCAATCAATTTTACCCAACACAATGAAACAGAAAACCCTCCAGATATTATGACTGAAAAAAAAACCCCAACAACTAGAAAGTTATAAGGTTCATTTGGACCTTAAATGAAAACGTAAAACAAGCACCACTGAACAGAGTATAAAGGGACCCATTTCATCCAAGCTATAGAATTAAATAGTTAGTTAATGCCTATTATGCCCACTGGCTTGTAGAGCAGCAATGAAGATTCTCCATTTTTTGTAGGAGAATTCTTTGTTGCTGTTTCCATAACAATTTTTTTATAGAATCAAATAATATGTATTAAATCACTTCTGTAAATGATAGCCAACAGGCTGTCTGCTGAAAGCAAACCTAATGGGACTGTTTGAAACTATGAACATTTTTATTGGAAAACAAATATAAAATAACACATAATTTGGGGTGTGATTCAGTGAGAGTTCACGGATAAGCTCTGCTAGACATGAAGCTAGACATGAAGCCACAGAGACTGAAACATGAACAGTCTGACACTGAATTTTAGTTTGCTTAACATGGGCCAAGCATAGTGGATTGGATGCCTCAGGGAACAGGCTATAGAGACTTTCATCTACTATGGTCAAGTGTAGTACAGGTTAGTGGTGACCAAAAGATGCAATCAAATGATGGCTGTTTGATAGACTGTGTGGAATGAGTGAGTGAATTCCCTGCCTACTTCCTAGTAGGAAAGTTGTGCACATCAGTGAAGTCACCTTCACATTTGGCACTAATTGATCCTGTGTGATCAGGAGAGATCAATGAAGACCAAATTCTATCCAAATCAGGAGCAAGATATTGGGGGAACTGGCTCTGGGGTGGTGTTTGGGAGATGTTTACAGCACTATTCTCCAAGAAGTACCAGTGCAATGGATAAAAATAATAACAGCTAGCCCTTTGTATAGAGTTTTTCATACTGAAATCACAAAGTCTTTGTGAAGGAGGTAAATGTTATTATCAATGTGGGAGCCGAAACATAGAATGGTCAAGAGACTTATCCAAAGGCATCCAATCCAGCAAGCTAGTAGCAGAGGTATGAATAGAACCCAGATCCCCTGCACACTAGGCCATACTGCCTCGTTAAAATAGAAAGTAGAAGAATTACATTTCTCTTTCAATCAGTCTAACTTCTTTTACCAGTGTGGCAATTATTTATTTAGTTATTGGGGGGAGGGACAGAATAATAGCAGTTACTGCAGTAATTGATGTAATATTTGTTTTAATATGTACCCACAAATTAACCATTGCTCTTGTTATTTCAGTGAGTGGATAAGCTATTTTGCCAAGATTTTCTCAAATCTCTCTTCCTCTCTCACACACAGAGCCAAATTCACCCCTTCCTGGATATAATTCTACTGAATTCAATGGATTTATAACAGGATTAATCCAATCCCCCACTGCAAAACACAATAATGTGAACAGAGAAAAACAATGTATGCCATATTTTAAAATATGAAGTACTTATTTTGCCAGTTACAAAATCATGAGCATCAAAATCTGGATGAGCATGGTAATGAAAGCAGCAGGCATAACTTACTTATGCACTGTACCACTCCAGAGGGAAAAGCTGTTCGCTTTCTCTTATACATTTCATTAATAAATTGTTGTGGTGCTACCAGTATAGAAGAATTAATGTCTTTCATGTTATTCATTCCCTTCAGTCAATGATCCTTCATCACATGAAAAGGCTTCGATATGGTCTTTCTGTTATTTTGATGTAAGCTCTTAAAATACAAAGAAAACGTATACTGATGATTTAAAAACAGCAGCTGGGCTGGCACTCATATTTCTTGTTTTAACACTCACTCTAGTTTAAAATCAATGAGTCAATGAAATATTAAAGGATTTTTTTTTTGTTTGGGATCATGGCAGGAAGCCCATCAGGATGGGAGTGAAGGCTGGGGGAATAGAGTCCAGGTTTCCCCACATTTCTGCTGAAGTGCATCTCAGTCATGTCTCATTTCGGTACCACTGTATATAGGCCTAGCTTTCTCTGGCTTTATTAGCCTCCGTGGGTTTTTTTCTCAAAAATGTTGAATCATGAAAGTGAGCTGAGAAAAAAAGTTATTTATGCAACAAAACAAAACCACTAAGCAAAAAAATCTGACTGTTACTAAGCCCAACATTGTGTGTGCGATGGGGAGGAGGGGGTAGTTTGTCTCATAATGCATATCTCCTTAGAAGCTCAGACACAGGATCATACCTCAGTCCTGCCCTGTCCTGCACTCCACTTAAATGTGAGTGATGGACCTCTCTGGTACAAGCGGCGCCTGCTAATGAGTCTGCATCACAGGATGGTTCTTATGAAAGGGACCAACCCTAGGACCAGTTTTCAGCCCCCAACCTGTATTTTCTTTGGCTTGCGACCAGTCCAGAGTTTGAACCTTGTCACCATAGGTTCAAAGCACTGAGTCAGGGAGCCTCTTGGTGCCCCTTAACAAGGACAGACATGTTTGTCAAGCTGTGAGTGTTTGTCAGTGCCTTGTGTGTGGGTGTTTGTGGGGGGTGTAAACATATTTTGGAGCGAGAGAGCGGGTGTGTACTCGGTGTTGGGGGGTAGGAGAGGGTGTGCTAGTTACTCAGCACATATGTGGGGTAATTAAAGCTCTGGGCACAGATTCCCGAGGACCCGTTCAGCCTACCGCACAGTGCCATTTTACACCCCCTTGCTTTCAATGCTCACTAGTTGATCAGGATACCAGAGGTGCTGTCTCCCGGTTACACGATAAAAAAGGAGGCTATCAACCAAGAGACGCCCTCCCGAACTCCCTAACATTCACAAGACGGGTCCTCAGGGCTGCTGCTCTTCCAGGTGACTCGTCGGCAGCAGGCGAGACGTTTCCATCCTCCCCCACCCTCGTGAAGCACCTGCTGGAGCAGCAGTGCCCGGGAGGTGATAGAAGACAAACAGCCTGTGGCCGCCCGGGCTGCAGCAGGCAGGACCTGCTCCTGGCTCTCGGTGAGTGAGCTCAGTTCTTCTTCCTTCCTCCAGTCCCTAGGTCTCCTGCCCCGCTGCCAGCTCCACGGTGGGACTGAGGGCAGTTCCGAGAGCCCCGGCTCCCGGGCGCAAAGACACCATGCTGGGGCTGGGGCTGCGGGAACAATTGCTCACAGGAGGGCTCCAGCCGGCCGTGCCGAAGGGACAGCTCCCCAGTCCCCCGAGGCGCGCGCTAGAGGTGCTGAAGGGACAGCTCCCTGGTCGGCACGGGGCGGCTCCTGCCGGGGTGCTGAACGGATGGCTCCCCATTGAGCAGCCTGCTGCTGTTGGGAGGGCTGCTAAGGGGGGGGGCGCCCGCTGCTGTTCACACCGCGGCTGCTGCTAAGCCAGCGGCTGGGGCCGGGGCGGGTGTTTTCCCCCCGCGGCCTGCTGCAAAGCCAGCGGCTGGCCTGGAAGCGACGCCAGCTTCTTCCCAGCTCCGCTGGATTCCGGCCCCAGCAGCTCCAGGCAAACAGGTAACGAGAGCCCCAATTATGCACTCCTAAACCAGCAAGCAAGGGGACTTCAAGGTTATTCCGCGCACTAGCCAGCCCGCCCCGCGAGCTTGGGGGGAAACAGGGCTGGAGACTGCCCCGTGGTCCCGCCAGAACCCAGCTACCAGTGTTGACACCAAAGAAAGTTCCCGGTGGCTACTAAATCTATTAAGTTTAAGGGACAAAGGCACTTCTGATTTCAGCTCTCGTCTGAAGTTTCCTTACAATGGTGGATAGGGTTCAGCCAAGCAGAGTAAAAGGCAGGCAGCGCTGGAAAAGGCAGCTCCCTCCGCCCCCAGCCTCCGGCACCTTCGGTACATTTTAAATGTGTCTGACAGGGATAGAAAAAGAGACAGCAAAACGCAGTCAGCGCTGTGTTGGGGGAGCTGACACAGACCTGGGGGCCAGCGGCTGTTTTGTCCCTTTGATTTTTAGGGAATTGTGTTTGTTTGCTGTAATCATCGGTATTGGCTCCCCAACAGTGACACACACACACAGCGCTCTGTTGCTGTTACAGAGTTCCCAGCACAGCGCCGAAGGGAGCCGCCGGGGCAGCCCTTAGCTTTGTTCAGTGCATTTTCTAATTTTGCGCATGTAGAGACAGCAGCCGTGGTGGTAATCTGCAGATCTGTGGCTACAGCGGATAAATTAGAGCTTTGCATTTGATGCATGTTGCAGTGGATTAAAGCAACCACCCTGACATGCAACACAAAAATTGACCCTGCCTGTACCAGGAACTCCCGTAGTAGAGAACAGGGCAGCCGCGGAGCCAGCTTGGTGCTGATGCAGCCAGCAGACAGAGTCTGCTCCAGCCACCACAGCCCGTGGGTTCTCAGTGGCAATGTCGCCGGCCGGCTCCCTGAAGCCGGGCACTGGGGCGGTGACACTAACTTGGAAATGAGGAGCGATCGTTCCCCAATGAGCTGGTCTCTGTCACACGCCCCTGAACTGGCGGGGATTTCATTGCAGTGAGTGTGGCAGACGGGGGCCGGAGGGGAGGGGGTGGGGAAGAGCAGTAGAGGGGGCATTGCCAGGAGCAAGCAGGGGAGCCGGAGGGTGGGTGGAGAATGGGGAACCTGAAGGAAATGGACGCAGCAAGTATCCGGCCGAGGCGGTGATGTTTGTTCTCTTCTTGCTCTCCCTGCAGGAATGTAATCCACAATGCTAGTTCTCAGGGTGCTCAATGTTGTTGCTCCAACCTACTTCCTGTGCATCTCCTTAGTGACCTTCGTCCTCCAGCTCTTTCTCTTCATCCCCAGCATGTTCAAAGACCCTTCCACCACCCCACTTTTCTCTCCTGCTCTGCTGCATGGGGCCCTCTTCCTCTTCCTCTCCGCTAATGCCCTGGGGAACTACATCCTTGTGATACAGAGCTCCCCTGAGGACCTGGGCAAGTGCCTGAACTCGGGCGGAGGAGCCGAAGCAGTGGCAGCCCGGCCGGATGGAAGCAGGTCCCCTGGCTCAGCCTTGCCCAGCACCCACTTCTGTAGACTGTGTGCCAGAGTCACCCAAAGACATGACCACCACTGTTTCTTCACAGGGAACTGCATCGGGAGCAGGAACATGCGGAACTTCATCATGTTCTGCCTCTACACCTCCTTGGCTTGCCTCGACTCCCTGGTGGCAGGGGTGGCTTACATTTCGGCAGTGCTCTCTGTGTCCTTTGCTAGCCCACTGGCCTTCCTCACGCTCCTGCCTCACTCCATCAGCCAGTTCTTCTCAGGTAAGCGGCCTCTCCTTCCCCCTTGTCCGAGAAGGAACCCGGGCTCCCTTTGCCCAAGCCCCCTAGGCTCTCTCTCAGGCAGCTTTGTGAGGGGCGGAGGGCGGGGAGCAGGAAGGGAGGGGGCCTGTGCTCATTGATCTCGTTCCTGGAGGCTTTGTGTTCATTCCCCGCAGGGGGGTAGCACTGCGATCAAAGGACGCTGCTGAAATGAGGCCCTATTGAAATCAAGCCTGGGCCCCAGCCAGGTTCCAGCCACAGCCCGCTTCATCAGGTATCAGGTTCCAAAGAAACCCCAACCCGGCGCCTCAGACAGAGTGTCAGAGGGTAGTACTACTAGGCAGCAGGAGAGAGGACTTCACACCCCTATAGCAGAGGAGTGCTTCCGTGGGTGCCTGCGGGGGGGGGCGGTTCTCAAGTCCTTCAGGGAATCACATCCTAATAGAGACTGACTGGGGCACACTTCCCCTTCCATTTGCCATCACCTGGTCCCTCCTCCACTCCCATTCAACACACCTCCAGCCCCCCACCTTTCCCAATCACCGTAGGCCCTCCCCCCCAACAACACACTCCTGGCTCCACACATTCCCTTCCTGTGGCAAGGACAGCAGCTGCGTGCAAGGGAAATCAAGGTTAGGAATGATTATGCTAGTTTCTTCTAATGCCACCCAGCAGGTGAAAACAAAGAAGAGAATTAGATTGATGTGACCAGCCAGCTCTCCAACCTCCTGTTAGTTTTTTGCAAACCACAGTTTGAGATCAACCGGTGATCTTGGAAAGAGTCCCACACCCAAAACAAATGCATTCCAAGAAATAATCTCCTGCTGTTGACTGCTGACTCTTCTTTTTTATGCCTTCCCCCACATGTACATTTTCCTTCTTATCAGTTCTCCCCCTACTCTTCTCATTTCTCTTCCTGATCTTTCCCCCACACCTCTGCATTGACACCTCTGGTTCTGTCCCTCCCCATCTCACCATGCCCCTGAGCCCTTCTGACTGCACCAAGTCTAAATCTGAGACAAAACCCTAGAATGAGGGGCATTGAAAGGTCAATATGCAGAAAGCTTACAGGCTAGTGGTATTCTGAAAGTGCCTATGTAACAATGTCATTCTTTTACCCATCAGACCTGCAACCTGTGGGTATCAGAATCAGATCCCCTCATATTGCTAACTAAACAGGACTTTTGCTCTGACCTCTGCAGATCCACTCAGTTCAGGGAGAGGACCTGGATTGTATTCTGGGTCATGCATTAAATGGCTTTTTGACTGTGTTTTGAATGCAAAATCATGCATGAGCCAGAAGAAACCCAGCTTGATTTTCAGATTCCAGGCTGAGAAGGCTGGCATTTAAAACAAACTAGCAGCAATTTACTTTGAAATGTATCATATTTTGGCCTGATAGTCCCTGAAAGGTAATAGACATGGAATCCTGACATGACATTTTTATGGAGTCACAAGTAGAACCACAGTTTAAATAATGTTGGATAAACCTCAGAATCAATCACACCAGACTTGATGCTCCTCTCTTCTCAGCTGTGCTCAACACAAAATGGAAAGGGAGGAAGGGGTGAGGAGGCCACCAGGGAGCTCTTTGATTCTGTGGGCTGATGTGCATCAACCCTGGTGTATATTAGAGCAAAACGCCAGGATGCACTAACTTATGCTACTAGTGTATGGACCCCCAAGGGACCATGTACTAACTGAGGATCAGTGCAGCAGAGCTCCACCACACCTTTCCTTCCTCTGTCTATGGTTGTGGCAGGTGATTGCAGGAATAGGAGATGGATCTGCTAGTTTTATGCCAGATGGATTAATTCTTGTGGCCAGAATCTGTGCACAGGAGGCACAAAAGATCCAGCAAGAATATTAGAATTTGGTTCAGTGTCTATAAATTCAGCATCATGAGTCAGCATTTCTAGCATAAGTAATGTGCAGCCATAAAAGTGAGATTGTATCAGGTTCACAAAGAACAGAAGTAAATTTGGGTATAAAATGGTCTCTGATGATGAGGAGCAAATGAGGAGTATCTTTGTAAATGTATGGCAGATTGGATCTACTGACAAAACTACAGACTATATGGATAGCCTAGGAATAAGATTAACAAACTGTATGTCCATTAAGTATAGCTCAGGGAAGCTTTATACTTGCAAGGAGAGACAAAGATTCTTCTTCTCACAACATGGTGAGTTTCTGCATCATGTCCTCAAATAAAACTTGCAGGCTGGCTGCAGAGTATCTCAGGACAATTTCTGTTCCCAACTTCCCACAGAGCACTATTAGGAAAAACAAACCAAGCTCTATTGTTCTAATTGCTTCCAATAAATGCTGAGAAGCCCATGGTTGTATCTGACCTTCCTATTAAATATTTCAAGTTATCCTCACTAAGGGTATGTCTACACAACAGTCAAATTAAAGTTGAATTAAGCTACGCAACTTCATCTATGTCAATTGCATAGCTTAATTGAAATAGCTTAATTTGGCATTTGGCACTGTCTACACATCAGGAAGTCAAAGGAAGAACACTTTTCCTTTGACTTCCCTTACTCCTCAAGAAATGAGGATTACCGTGAGTTGAAATAAGAAGTCCTTCAGCTCAACATTATTTCTAAATAAAGGCTTGTAGTGGAGATGTTCACTATGTTATTTCAGAATAATGTCAGTTACTCCGAAATAATGCTGCTGTGTAGATGTAGCCTAACTGAATTAATATGAGGATTCATTACTGCTTTAAGGGACCTATTCTTCCTCTTGCCATCTTGTGCATGATGTCTAGTGAGGCTCGTGGGATCTGACAAAGAAAGAGAGGTGATATTAAATTTAAAAGGTAATGTTTAATGGTTCAAGTGTTCAGGGCTGTCTCTGAAAAGCCAGATGGTGGTTTTAAAAAAAATCTTCCTGTGAATGTTCTCTCCTAACCATGTCCAACTCTTGGAGTGAAGTAAAAATGTAATATTGTAGCAGTCAACAGCTAGACAATTCATTACAGCATTTTGAGATGCAGAAGCTAGAATGTGAATATTTTAAGGCCAAAAGCAACTATTAGTTAATCTAGTCTGATCTCCTGTATAACACAATTCTAATAACTGGAGGAGCCTGAGCTTCCTACAGCCAGCTGCTCAGCACTGTTCTGATGACTCCTGGTTAGAGAGAAGGCTATAAGAATGGCTTGCACTTGTGCACTGTTTCCTATGGTGACTTCTGCTGAGAGAGGCTTGGATTACAATAGCTTGAGTTGTCCCCCTTATACCATTCCTACATAACATTAGAGAGGTTCTTTTAAAAATCCCAGAAGGAATTAGTTATGATGCATTTGATACTTATACAAGTAATAAAATATTGGCAGATCCTGAGTGGATGCTAATTGGCATCCAAGTTATATATACAGGCAGTCCCCGGGTTACGTACAAGATAGGGACTATAGGTTTGTTCTTAAGTTGAATTTGTATGTAAGTCGGAACTGGTACATATTGCAGGGGAAACTCTAGCCAAACATTTCTCCAGAGCTCAGTTTTATTCTCCCACACCTCACTTCCCTCAGTCCTTTATTCTCAAGCGGAGGTGTCTGCTGAGAAAAGCTGCTCCGCGTCTCCCTGGTCTGCTGGGGGGGGGGGCGCTAGCATCGCGTCTCCCTGGTCTGCTGGGGGGAAGCAGCTAGTGCGGGGTTGCCTCACCCCGTTTGTAAGTAGGGATCTGATGTAAGTTGGATCCATGTAACCCAGGGACTGCCTGTATATACAATGACTTTTTAAAAACAATGATTAGAAGTACCTGTCACATTCAGCGTTTCCATAAGTCTTTTAGCTTGCCATAACCATGTACACAAGAGATGTTCCAGTACGCCAAGACAGTGCATTGTAGATTCACATCCTGATTTGCCATGCAATAACATTCCACATAGACAAGACCAACATCATGTAGGCACTTTTGAAAATGTTACTAATTATGATTAAAATACATTTTATATTTTGTGGAATGTTCTCTTTAAGTCCTGATGCCACTTATTAATAGTATGAACATTAGTCTAGTCTAACCTTTACATTTTAACATTTCCCCCCCAACAGTGTGAGTTGCATTGATTATGAAATAATCATGATTATTTCATCTCAAATGAAATACTTCAATTAGAATAATTAGAATGATTAATTCTCTTTTTCCTTCTAGCTCGCCAATTGTATATTTGTGATAGCGTGCAATTCAGTTTCCAGAACTCTTTGGGTTGAATATTCCTGTTGTGTGGTGTATATAAAATGCTGTTTCTTTTTTTCTCTTCCCCTCTCCTGGCCCTGGAACTGCAGGAGCTCTCCTCAGCTCTGAAATGTTTGTCATACTCATGCTGTACCTCTGGCTTGGAATTGGACTTGCCTGTGCTGGCTTCTGTTCCCACCAGATACTGTTGATCTTACGAGGGCAAACTCGATATCAGGTGCGGAAGGGGATGGTGGTAAGAGCCCGGCCCTGGAGGAAGAACCTGCAGGATGTCTTTGGAAAGAGGTGGCTGATAGGACTTCTTATTCCTGTGCTAAATGTGGGAAGTGACTGTCATAGGCCCAAAGACAAGTAACCCTCCACAACGCACACACCCAAAGGCCCTCCAAGAGGAGGCAGGAAAGGAGGCACTTGCCCCAGGGCCTGGTGATTCAAAAGGGCCAGGGTTCTCAGCAGCTGCTGCTACTGCAGCAGTGGCGATGGCTGGAGCCCTTGACCCTTTAAATCACCACTGGAGCACTGCGCTCCAGGAAGTTCTGAGGGCTGGCAGGGGGATGGGCAGTGTGCTCCAGGCAATGCAGAGGGCTAGCTGCCCCCAACCCCGCCCTTTCCACGTGTGGCTCTACCCTTTCTGTGAGAGCAGAGTCACACCCTGCCCTGGGGCACAGCAAGTCTGCCAGCCACCTTGCAAATGCAGATACACTCCTACTTTCTCCCCTACTCTGCTGCAACATGGCAGAGTTGGGCTATTCCATCTCTCAGTACTGCAGCCTCTGTGGGATGGGGTAGGGATTGGCTAACAAACTGAGCAGACATAAGGGACTGTCTTCCTGTTCTGTGCTTGTATAGTGCCTAACAAAATGGGATCCACATCCATGACTAGGACTCCTAGCCACTATGTTAATACAAATAATAAAGATAGATGAAGAGATACTGCCTCTTTGTAGATACCTCACTGCACCTATGTACATGGCAACAGTCTCCATATTATTAGAAAAATAATATTCAACTTCTCTTTTAGGCTCCCTTTATTCCTCTCTCCTCTGTTATCTAACCTATGCCTTCACCCACAACTGGCAGCAGGATCCTCAACAGGCAGCCTAAACCAGGGGAGAGAAAACCTTTTTTGGGTCAGGAGCAACTGACCCACAGAAAAATCAGTCAGGGGCACAAGTGAGAAGCAAACAACAACACCAAACCCATACCACATCCAAACAAAATACCCTAACCAACCAACCAACCAACCAACCAACCAACCAACCAAAAAAAAACCCAAATTCAAAAGACAAAAAGCAAACCCTCACTGACATGGCCCTTGACAGAGAAGGAGAAAGACTCTCTCCGCATTCCCCTCACACATGACAGGTAGGGGGCCAAAGCCAGGAAATTTTGTGTGCTCCATCCCTGTGGGAAGATTGTGGAGGGGCTGGAGTGCCAGCGCAGGCTCCCCAATGCTGGGGATGGGGAAGCCCTGAACCTCAGAGGTTGGATCCAGGCAAGCTGGGGACTGCACCCAGCTACCAGGCCTTAGGTTCTCCAACCTTGGCCTAAGCTATCATGACTAGTTGGTAAGCAAAGTTCTGTGGAGGGTTTCTAAGTTGGAGCTTTATGCAGCTTAAAGTAACTGGAGACAGAAAGAAGCATTTAACAATAAAACTAAAGTGCATCTGAGCACTCTAGGAACAGGCTTCTAGGAAGGCAGAGAGAGTCTGCTCTCCACAGACTAGAAATTAGGGATGGAAAGGACTTGTTAGTTCGCTTGATCTCCAGTTATTTTTTATCTCTTCCTTTCATAGATAACAGCTAATAGACTGACCACAGGGCTTGTCAGGATTGCAGCTCTATTGGCTGCTTCTCAGAGTGTTTCTTCTCCTACCCCCCACTCCAGAACCATACCTTATGTCACAGTCCATGGCACAACTGCCTACCAGCTCCAAGGACTGGCAAGCAAATCTAATAATGGACCTTGTATCAAATAAGGCAGATATACAAGGAAAGAAAACTGAGCATGAATGGAAAACATGCATTTGAGAGTTGATTGTATGTGAACAGTTGTGACTTGAGTGAGTGAGTGAGTGAGTGACAGAAGGTACATATAGACAGACTGGGCTGGCAGGACAGCGTAAGAGCAAGACCAGGACACTTTGCTATCATGTTTAGTACTATCAGAGATGAAAGTAAGTGGGTATGCCCTGGTGCACAGCTCTGGAAAGAGCTAACTGAGCTGTGGCAAAAACAAGCAGGAAGCTATTTAAAGAGCTGGCAGGGACCCGGGTTGCAATAGGACAGTACCTGTTAAGAAATTTTAAGTTACTTTCATTGTTGCATACTATTTAAAATTAGCGAAATTATTACCTCAAACAGTCCCTTACTATAAACTCTTTAGAGGTTCTTGAACTGGAGGAGAGGCACAGAATGTATTCTGGGAGGCTGTGAGAACTTTTACGAAAAACTCACATATTCAGGGCTGGGTGGCCAAAGAGCAGTGGCTGCTGGTTGGACGCTCAGCTCTGAAGGCATAAGTGCCATCAGCTGCAGCAAAGAAGCACGGGTCGTAATACTATACTATGCCACCCTTACTTCTGCACTGCTACTGGCAGCTGCACTGCCTTCAGAGCTGGGTGCCCTGCCAGCAACTCCCATTTTCCAATCTGCATTCTGAGGTGAGTGGTCAGAGAGTGGCAGCTGTGAGCCACATGCTCAGGGAGGGGGCATATGTAAACCGCAACAGACACAAAGAAGGGGGGCACAATCAAGTTTGAGAACCAATGCTTTAGGACATTTCCTCTAGCCTAGGTATAATGGGGTACATTTATCATGTGTATCTGCATTAATTGTGATACTATTGGGATGAATCAGCCCAGGAGGACAGTCAGGGCCATCCCAAAAAGGGTGTGTGGCCTTGGGGAACCCCTGCCCAGTGACCAAGGCACAGGGCCCATGCATCTCCCATTCCTGTTCCATCCCTTCCCCAAACCCTGTCCCTGTTTCACCCCACCCCACCCTGTTACCCACTTTCCCAAGCAACGTGGCCTAGAGGATTTTGGGAGGGGATCTGGCACAATGACAGCAGGGTCTGTGGTGTGCTGGGAGGGCAGGGCAGTGTGGCACTGCGAGAACAGGTGGAGCAGGCTGCTCTGGCACCCACTGCCCACATGCCGAGTGTGTGCGTGGGGCAGTGGGGCTGACAAGCACAGCGGGGCCCAGGACAAAGTGTGTGGGAAGTTGGTTCTGTGCTCCACAAAGGGGCAAGGCTGTGGGCAGAAAAGGCAGAGCCACAGGCAGTCAGCCCTTAGCTCTGCCCAGACTGCAGCGCACACCCCCTACCCCAGCCTCAGAGCTGTACAGAGCTGTGGAGCAGTGCTCCAGCACTCTGGAGACAATTCAAAGGGGCCCAGATTCCAGCCGTAGCAGTTGTGAGCTCCAGGCCCCTTTGCATCTCCAGGCCCTGGGGCAATTGCCCCTATTGCCCCCCCTGTCAACAGGTGTGGGTGGGGACTCCTGCTGCCACCGCACCAGACCCCTCATAATCTCCCAGTTCCCTCCCATCCATAGGATGATTGTGGTGGCCACCGCAAGGCCTCCAAAAGCATGGGGCTTGGGGCAGCTGCACCAAACCATCCTATGGATGGGATGGCTCTGATGACAATATGTCCTGTTGCAGCAAACCCCATCATACCAGTGCTGAGATACCATGCTGATAGGTGCCTTAAAAAAAGACACTACTACATTTCAAAACTTATCACAGTGCTTTATTCCCAGGGGTTTATTATAAAGAGAAGAAGCCTCTGTTATGGTCATCTTTGCATCAACGCATGTGGGTTGGATGGGAATTCACTATTTCTCTAAATAGACTGGAAGGTTGCAGTTAATCCATGAAAGATATAGGTATTCCTTGAACACTGCTCTTAATTTGTCCTGGGGGAGGAATATAATACCTGCTTTCAAAGTTGTGTTTCTCCCGTAGCAGTGAACAGCAGTCATTCCTGAAGAATTTAGAATTGGCAGTTCCATCATAACCCCAGAGTGTGCACATGTAACAAACAGACACAATATTGTGATGAACAGCGTGACCTTGAGAATATACTGCAGAAATAACTAGTTGCATAGGTAGAACACACATAGACAATATTCTCTCCAAATCGAATGCGTGCTGGCATGAACACACAGTATTTACATGTATAAATATGCTGTATTTTCACTAACAGACAACAATAAAGTGTTTTGATTTTGTAAGTTACCTTTTGGATGTTGTGATCTTTTAACTGCACTTTTGTTCCATTGGGGCGTGTGGACATGTATGTGTATAACAGCATATTTAACCTATATTTAATCTATCTACAATAGGAAGAAATTAAGAGTCAGGTCTTCTAGGGTATTTTTCCTGGCTCTACTACTGATTCACAATGTGACCTTGGACAAGCCACTTCATCTCCCTACTTAAGTTTCCCCTTCTGAAAATTGATCTAATAACGTAGGAGGTTTGTGAGGTTTAATTTGTGTTCGTAAAATGTTAGGAGGTCCTCAGATGAAATGCACTAGAAAAGCGTTACTATTATTATTATCCACAGACAGATTATCGGAGTGAATTACTCCTGTTGGTACTCCTACAACAGAATGGTTTACTTTGACACTATTTTACCTAGGTAAATGAACTAATTGTTTCTGACAATCACCTTGTTACTTGGTTGTGAGCAAGCACTTTGCACTGTATGCCTGGCCTTAGAAGTATTCCCAGCATTATTCTTATTCCACAGTCTAGCTGACCAAACGTCCTCTGCTCATCACTGATTGTATTTTTTATTCCTAAAAGGGACAGGTTTGCAAGACTTCAGCCATTAGTTTCTTTGTGTCAGCACAAATTAAGAAATTATATTGTGGCAGTCTCCTCCTCTGCATGTGGCATTTTATTAGCACTGTAGGTTTAGTCAACTCCTGCTACTCACTTCCTGCAGACATGCTACCTCAGACGGTATATCACATACTAAAAAGGGCAAGGCTAGCTCTCTACTTGGAAAGGGGAAACCTTCAAGGAAAACCCAGCTATTACACAAAGTAATGCAAGTTAGTCAATAAAAATCACTAGTCTCTCCAAGTCAGTAACCAGCACCTTAGCCTACTGCTATAGACAGCTATTCTGATGACAGGTACTGACCATTTCAGTCATTAAAAAAAATCCACATTTTAGCAAGTGTTAATCTTGGCATCACAGTCAAATGTCAGTATGAGGAACTGTATAGTGATTCTCTAAAATTCCTCCTGCAATTTCAGTTGGATACATTATTCCTTACCTCCTGAACTAAGCTGATGTGTAGAGTTAACATGTGCTGCTAACCAGTTTTCTGAACTATGCTACAGGTGTCTACATTTTGGTGGCAGTCAAGTGACTTTTGCTTATATATCTTCTTGCAATTACTGTCTTTTGGGATGAAGGGCACTATGGAAAGGTAACATTATTGTGA